ATTACATACAATAGAATTAGATGTGTTGCAATTCAATTTTGCATCTCCAATTAGACGTATTAAGAGTCATTGAGTCTTAGCAAACGTTCGCGTTTATGTTTGTCTCTCTTTATGACTCATCTATCCAGCTGATAAATGTTAAATGTTAATGTTGTTGTTTCTTGTATATTTGCATGTACTAACTTAACTCATTAATATACTGTATTTGGAAGAACACATTGTTCTATTTCGTTGATATTAATAGAGTGTACACTGTATACTAGAAATAACCTCCATTTTTATTCTTGGAGCCGGTATTTTGGATCTCCTTTAAACCGCTAATCATGCAATACGATAATAAGAGTTTTGAATGCAACATATGTTGCGGTTGCAGGTTACATGTTTGGAACACTGTTATTTTAGCGGTTACGTTAAATGCTGACCATCCCTAATATGTTCGTTATTAGCATAAAGTGTCAGCAATAAAACAAACTGAGTTGTGCAAATCAGAAACAGGAAATGCATAACAAAAATGTCATTTTTGAAGTAAGTATGAACCTATCAGTTTGCCATGCTCGTTGCAAGACGAAATTTTCGTTGTTAAAAGCTTCGAAATTGCCAACTAAAAAAACCAAGTTACTTTCTTGCGATTCAATGAATTATTGGTGATATGTATTTGGTTGACTGTTGGTGTTAATAAGCAAATTGACGACCATTAAGCGAACCGCACCCAACCAACCAAACTCTATGTAATAAAAATATATGAAACAGAGTAATAATATAGCAAAAAACCCCAATAAAGAATCCGGTGGATTTCTTTTATTACAAGAAGGAAATTCGTTTATGACTTTATTATTGACCAGTCTGCTGAGAAGTTATGAGATTTTTTAGTATCGAGTAGCTATTTTTAGAATAATTGCCCTTACTGAAATATGATTCTTCTGTTAGCTTTTCCTTCCATTCAGTTATGTTATCATTCAGTTGTTATATACAAGACACAAAAACGCTAAGCCCCTTCATAGGAAAATAACATAACATTATTTCCAAATGTTATGGAATAAAAATAAAAATATGAGAAACTTAGCGAAAAAATTGTCAATATACCTATTGAATATCATTAAATAATGTTCATAATTGCGTTCTGTATCGATTTGCCAATGATTTTGGATTAAATTAGTGAAACGCATCGATCTGATATCCATATGGAAGCTAAGGCGTGTCAGATAATTAAAAGACATTCTGCCTTAGAATCGCGTGATAACTTATACTAATTAGCTAAAATACTTTATTGTTCCCTACCTCACAAGGAGGGTTTGGCTTTTAAGGAAAAATGCACTTTATAATATTTCATGGATTTTATTTCAATGGCGCAAAGCATTTGTTTATAGATAATATAGTTTACGAAATCATAATATCTTACGGTTAAATGTGTTAAGCTATGTTGGAAAAAAAATGGCGGGGTTACAACACATTTTATCGAGAAAATTTTATTTTCACCTTTTTCTTGTTATTTACACAATAATAATATGAACAGAATGTTAACGTAACGAATTTTATTTTATTTACGTAAATATACAAACCCAAACGAACGATGGGATTCTTGAGATATTGCCTTGAAGTATGTGATAGGAAAAAAATTGAAAAATAAGTTATTTTCACTGCTCAAGAGATTTCCGAAAATGGTGATTGGATATTATTGTATGAAATCAGGGAATTTCGCTACGTTCAAGGCTTCTTCAAGACGTAGGTCCCAAGAGTTCCATGTTTAATAATTCCTGTTATAAATGTTGATAGTTTGATGAAACGAGGCAATAGGGATTTTGCAATAGGGACTGGTAACTTCGTTTGTTGTATTCTCAACAGAACCAGCATCTTAATTTTACTGGGTTTTGAATAGTTTTGAGGCAAAACGTTTTTTCAATAAATTTTTATTATTATATATATTCTTATCCAAGCATCGAAAGTGTGTAACTGAATAATCAATCAAATCAAAATGAAAGTATTCTACAGTAAATATGATGTGCTCAGACAACAAACTTAATAAACCAATTACTATTGTAGCATAAAATATCCCAATAATCCAAAATAATTTTTACCTCGTTATTGCTTAAAAATATGAGAAATTATTCCAATTGCTGGAAGAATAAAAATATAAACTTTAGAGAGTGTTCAAAAACCCAATGCAAAGGCTGGTAAAAGAAAGTAGTATTAATTGTTTGATCTGTATGGTAATTGGACCTGCTAGAACTAGTGAAGATAAAAGTAATAAGAGAGCTGTAATTTTTACTTCTCAAATAAATGACGATCTAATTTTATTCCAGAAGGGTTCATATTTATCATTAATTTTTAATTTATCTGAGGTGGCCAATATTAGAGCAACTAATCAATTGAATAATTTTTTCAGTTATCATTGGTTTTACTACAAAAATAATTACATTAAACGCATAAGCTGAATAGCAGTTTTCGATACAAGGACGAAAATAATTGTTCCCAAAGTGATATGTCAATAATGAAATGTAAAGTAAGTACCAATATTTTTATGATTTAGGCTCGGTTGATTGATTAATTCTTTAATTTCTCACTTTTAAACAATTATTAAGGTTTTAATCGTAGATGGTGGCATACAGTAAGTAAAATAATTATTTTACTTTCTCTATGGATGGAGGCACCGAGCCTGATTCGGAAGAGTAGCGGATTAAAGCGATACATTTATTTGTCGATAATAATCCTTTTACTGCAAAAATTTTAAATCTTCAACTATGAAATCAAATTGCAAACTTAAAGGTATTTAGAGACTATAATTTAGACATTAATTATTCGTGAGGAAATTTAATCTTCGAAGGTTTATAGGTTTTAATTTTAAATTAAAAAATAGTATCAGGATTAAATACTTAAAAATTAAGCGGGGAGTTTAACGGTTCTTTGGTACCAAAAAACTGTCAAGCTTGTAAAAGTAATAACTAATTAATAAAAGTATATAGAAGAATATAAAACTTTAAGTTTTGAGTAACTAATCTGGCTCCAGAAAATGAACGTTACGCAGCTAAATTTGCTCTAACTTTGCAACTGGATAAATTCTGATTGCGTCAAACGATTTGCTTTCTGTTTGAAGCTTTATTGAGCCCCATTGGTTATTTGCTAGTAAATGTTTTGTTAAAAATTAAGCCCCTCGGATAAATTTTCTACATGATGGAAAATAAAAAATGCGAAAATGCGAAAAACTTTGGCATGCTCCTAGTTGAACCAAAAATAGTTTTTTTGGATCTCAACACCAAAAGTTTAAATATAAACCAAAACAATTTTTGATTTTTTTCTCATATTTCTTCTATTTACAGGGTGGCCTCTAAAAATAAAAGTTTTGGTCTTGCAGCGATAACTTTTTTGCTCTTGATCCGATGTTCACGATCTAGATATCAAGTTAAAGCGTAAACTTCAAAGGCAATTTAAAATTAAAATTCAATATACAGGGTTGCATAAAAAGTTGCCTAAATCGGAATTCTCTTCGAAATCTGTAATTCTGGAACATTTTCAAGTAGGTGAAGTTTACTTTCAGATATTTTGTTCATTCATGCAATCCGCAATTTTGAATTTTTTCTCAATTCGACTATGAAGTTTGAGGTTCAACCTAAGCTGTAGATTTTGAAAAATGGTTTGACAGGAAATAATTTATTACTGCAAGGCCAACAAGTTGATTTTTTGAGACCACTATGTCAATAAGATGGGCGACAAAATCAAAAACGATTTCTGAAATATGAGATCCATCTTAATGCTTGTGGTGTTGAAGTAGAAAAAAAAGTTATTTTGTTGAACTAAGAGCATGTGGAACTTTTTGCATTGTTTCATTTGCCACCCTACAGAAACATTAGCAATAATTGCTTGCAAAACACACATTACTCGAAAATGAATTGTAGTAAACACTTCAAACAGAAAGCAAATAACTCTCAGTAAACAGTTTTTGGCTTTGTATACAGGGTGATTTACGTAGACCGTGCATTAGAAGTTTGCCAACTTGCAGTTGTTTTAGAATCTTGAAATCTGGTGTCCGGTCATAAAGAGACGTGCCGAAACCATATAAAATATAGTTAGCCTTCCAGCTATACAGGGTAAAACCCAAATTTCTTTATCACGGTAGGATTGGCCTACCAATTGTGAGTTTGAACAACCCTAAATGTGTAACGTGTGTTAAATTGTTTTAAAAAAATCCATGACACATGTTTACGGATTAAGCTATATCTAAGGAACGGTTCTAAATTAAAAACTCAAATTAGGTAGGTAGTTAGCCGAAAGCCCAAGCTAACTCCGACATCGGTGCATACAGCCTACAGGCATTGACATAAAAAATGTCAAAAAATCAGTTTTTTTTAAATGACATCTACTAACTTTTTTAGTTCTGTTTGGTTTAGCTTCGCTTTAGCGTAAATGCACGTTGAAAGTGTCTGGCAAATGCGTCCGCCTTGGCCTTGTGTGTATAGACGTCTGTACCGTTTTCATTTATTATACCAGTCAGTGCTGTTGTTTTTTTTAGTATCGTGACAGTTTTTTTACATTTTTCGCCCGTTTTATTTTCGTTTTTTTAAATTTCTTTGCATGCCTCTAGCCATTTGTCTAGCCATCCGAATGAATTGCGTTAAAGCGTGTTAAATAGAACCTGTTCTATTTTCCTCATAATTCAGTAATGAGAACATTCCGGTAAACCGCCAAAAGACAAACATTGATGGTGCCTGATTATGGATGTTGTACTGTCTGTATACAAAAGATGGAATAATATTTCAGTAAAGAAGGGGAAGGAAAACGAAGTTAAGATTCAATTAACGATTACCAAACAGCGATTCTCTGAAAATGAAAAATGATAATTAGCAGCAGAATGTATAGCGGGGAAAATTGAAATTTGCGTGTGGAGGAATCGGCAACAAGGTTCGTGGTAATCATTTTCAGTGACCGCTCGAAAGATCGGCGCAGGCGGTTCGACGTCACACGGCGCCGCGTCGCCGCTAACTGGGCCGACGTCTCTCGCGCCGGCCGCAATACAAGCGGCGTCCTCTAACGGCGTCGGTCTCAAAGCGACGCAGATCACCAGCGACCGGCGGTAGCGAGCGGCTAAAGCGGCTTGCTTGGCATCGTGCAGCAGTTGTGCGCGAAAGTGTTCGGTTGCCCCTTGTTTTGGCCCGATGTTAACCTGACTACCCGCCGCCGCTACTGTGCATAGCCAACAAACAAGGCTGGGGCGACCAACTAACGCAGCCGAACATATTGGACCAAGCTGAAAAGTAAGTAATTTCTACTCCACCCATGAAATTCCGGATTCGCAAAAACTTGCGGCACCAACTAGGTCACTTTCAATCCTGCTGTCTGCATGTTTCCACTTGAGTTTCCGCTACAATGCGCTCCACTACACAAATGCAAAAAAACAACAAACATTCATCCACAATTTATTTATCTCTGTCAAGGTAACTTGCCTACGAATCGTAAATTATAACTCGTGAGAGAATTTACGTTCCCCCGGCATTACTAAATTACTATTTACGTAAAGCCAATGTTACTATAATACTCAGGTAAGTTGCCAACTCATTTAAAAAAGTAGTTGCTCGCTATCCAATTATATTTTTGTATTTTGATCGATGAAAATTTGTCTAATTTCAGCATAGTTCAAATTAATTGATTTTTCCGCTATATTGCACATTCAACGCTAGCCACTGGGTTCTCAACTTTTCGTTTTGAAAGTAGGTATTTGCTCACATCTACTTGTATCGGAGTATAGTCGATATTCAAGCCACTCGATAGTGCTTCCAGGAAGAAAACCGCGTTCCTGTGGATGGACATCACTAATTTATAACACTTAACGCTGCTCAGCTAGCTCTATAAAAAGCCCTTCATTAATTAAAACTAGTCTTTAATTATACACAGATCAATATATTTTAATTAGCTTTCATCTAATATCCATAAATAATTGACGTATTATACACTTTGATGGAAAAAGAACTGTGATTTATTGTCGAATTTGCATATTAGTTTTCGGTTTTACTTATTAATCTCGGCCGAAAACCAGGTCAAATAGCTAGTTAAAATCCACAGGGTGTCAATCCGCAAATAGTACCTATAGCAAACTAGCTAGATTTTTTAAAATTGGGCAGTATACCAAACACCCTGTATATTATTTTTGTATTACATTCTACTCAATATTTTCATGCATAATATTATACACACTTTTTGAATTTGAAAGTTGCAAGCATTAATGATAATTTTTTCGTTTAAAGGGGAATTTATTATTTAATTTGCATTGAGATCCTGAGTTGACTGACAATGACCTATTTTAATAAACTGGATACTATTTCTACATCAAATAATGCAGAGCGTTCACAAAATGAGTTTGAGAGTGAAATTGAGGAAACCTCGATGTCAACCTCAAAAAATAAAAATCTGAAAATGAAAATTGAAAATTTAATTTTATTTACTATTAAAAAAACGGCAAAATTTCCTAATTAAAACGCTTTTAGATTGTAAAACATTGTCAATTGAAACTTTTTATGTCGGAATTTAGGTGTTGATTTTTGGTGCAGCTATTCTTAGTTGGCCATCTGAAAAGCGCCGTGCTCAAGACAATCAAATGCTAACGGAATGTTTACCGATGTCATTTACCGGTTGAAAATTATTATCAATCATGCCACGACCATTAAATTAATCAAGGGGATTCTTTAAACTTCTTTATTATCTTTGGATAATTTGCTTAAGAACATGAGGAATATTTTTCATTCGATCTCCGCAAAGGCACAGGCATGTTTTCATTATAATTATAATGCATGCTTTCTTTAGAATGAAAAGGAGTAAAATTTCCCAACGTTATATTTTTGATTCATGAATTCTTCAATAACTGTTCAACCTGACTTTCTGAATCTTCGCGCATCTTCGGGGCTTAAGTTTGTAAATTCATTCCTCACTTGCTGTTTCCAATCTTCCATAGTTGTTATATATTGATACGATCTTTAATGGAATCAGAAGTAAAAAATTAATCACGCAGTAAAGTATTTTTGAAAGTGAAAGTTTGGAAAACGGGTTGGCCACAGGAAACGACCGTTGTTGGTTAGTCGCTTCAACCATCGATCTTTAAAAACATTTTCGTAAAAAATAGTCGATTAGGAGCGCTATAATGGTGGCAAAACAGGTTTTTAAGAACAACGAGCGGCAATGTGTTCAAATAGCTGGTTTCAAAATCACGTAAAATTTTCAAGCAACCTTCACCCACAAAGTTAATAAAGACGTTGTCATCTTGAATTTAAATTAAACCTTGCCATTAAAATCCTCACCAAAATCGCCAATTGAAAAAGTTAACTTTACTGTATTTCAAAACTAACATCTTTGGGAATAGACAATCTTACACAACCTTACCGCTGTTATTTTTAAAATTAAATAAGATGACCTTATCAGAATTAGAAAGATATTTGAATTTAATTTGAAAGAATTGATTTTTGGTGGTTTTCGTGCTCGCAAAATAGAACAAAGCTGTGCCCCTTGGGGCACCCTGTGTTGTACACATGCTTCTTTGTCTTCACTAAATAATAGAACAAGTACGGATTGCACTATTACTGTTTTGAATAATTGAAGTGGTGAGCAAGCTAAATGGGTCCGTCTAATCAATTTATAGAGAGTAGCCAATTGAAAATTTAGTGTCGCAAGCTCATATGACTCAGTTTCTAAAATAGATACAATAATGTTTCTAAATATTTCTGTAATGTATTTGGAAGCGAACTTTAATTTTTATATACTTACTTTATAATCAGCAGAATAAAAAAATTAGTGTAACTTTGGAAGATTATTTTCAAGACTTACCCGGAAGATTACCTATTAATGATTCCTCCCGATTTTTTTGTGCGAATAATTTTTGGATACCCCGTTATATTCAGATATAATATGTATAAAACATAAAAATGTAAAAATGTACAGTCATTAACACGTTTGGTCATTTTGACATAACAAATTTATATTGATTTGATCTAGCAAACTTAAATGTAAGTGTTTTTCAATATCATTAGGATTACTGGAAAAAACCAAAATTGATTCATCATTATACTACTACACAATCAAATCATATTTTGATAATAAACTGAATTAAATTAAATAGCCAACACGAAAAACCCAATAAATTGGGCTAATCTCTACGTATACCAAAACGTAAAACTGCATTTAGTCAAAAATTCAAATTATCTTTTACCAATAAAATCATCACCGAATTAGTAAAAATATTTGGTCTAAAATGTCAGACCATTAATAGCATTTGATTCACTTCATTGCCGCTAATTAAAATGACGCACATAGTATTGAGATAACAGAAATGTGCTTATCTTTACATTGTTTCAATATTTTCAGAACTCCAAATTATCAAAATGTTATATTTGATGTTTCACATTTCACATGATTGTACAGTATGTACCCAAAATTATCGACATCAGGCGATGCGATTAGGTGCAGTTTACCAATTATCAATTACTACTTAAATAAATTATTGGGTAATTAAACACAATTTCTGAATTTATCCCACCTCTGGATGAAAATTTAAGGTAAATTTTTCGTAATATTGAATAACGTTTCTAAACACTTCAAACAACTTGAGCGGGTGTTTTATAATGATGTGCAAATATTTTTATTGAAGCAAAATTAGGGGTGTGCTTTGCAGTCAACTTTAAAAGCAGTCTTAATAAACTTGTTTCATTTGGTCCTTCCCTGAGACGAGAAACTGAATATAAACCGTACAAAAGTTGCCAAAGTACCTGTTTAGCATTCATCAAGGATTTTTTAATAAAATCCTACAAAGTCATAAATGAATCAGACGCCTGCTTTGCCAGCAACTGTTTATGATAAATACGTCTAATCGGCAAGGAAGTATTTTTTCCTGGACTGTTATTAAGAATACGAAAACATGACAAAAGAAAAAACAAGTTTGTGAATGAAATGCAGAGCTAAGTATATTTATTCCTTCTGGGAGAATAAAAAAACAGGGGTGTTAATTTTTATTCTAAGACATAAGCTGAACAAAGCCAAACTTCTTTCAACTATTTTTTCAAACCATTTGTGTTGGGTAACATGAACCCTCTTCAACCATATAGAACTTATCTATCCGTCAACTAGTTGCTAACGTGCATCAAAATACAAATTTCTATGATTGAGCTTTTTATAAAAAACCAATATCAGAATGGGGGAAAGCTCAAAACCAAAAATAGGTTTCACACACATTTTCAAAAACCAAACTTCCTTTAAAATTACCTTCTGTGAAATATTTAAAATAACAAACTTTAGTGGTGTTTTGCTGTTCCCCTGAATTGAACAGTTTATAGGAGTTCGAAAAACAAGTGTGATATGTGGGTATTTTATTCATATCAGTGCAATAAGTTGCCCCACTTATACAAAAAGATATCGCAAATTGCACCTGGAAAATGAAGTCCCAAATAGCGCGGTCTCCTTTATGGTCACCGACTCCACACAGATACATATCTAGAACAAAAAGGCTTATTTTTAATTGTTCCACGTTTAATCCCTTTGATATTGGGATACACTTAAAAAACGTTTGGAAAAATTCACACGATGATGTTTTCATGATAAAATAATAAGTCATTAAAATAACAAGTGATTTTTATGTTTGACAATTTAGGTGTAGGTTAGTATGCACTAAAACAGTGTTCATCTTGTGACTGTTTCATATTAAATTGCTTTCCCGCTTCTCTCAGAGAATTAGCTACACCAGTTCCGTGGGTGTTTAATTTTCTCGAAAACAGAAGCCAATTTACCACTTTCTTATCTTAGAGATTAAGATTCAATATATTTGGAAAAGTTCAACACTCCCTTGAAAATGTCTTCGCCTATTCAGGCAGAAACAAACCCAGAGCTGATTAAGAGCGTAGACTTAAGGGATGGCATGAACTTGGAGGGTCAAGAGTCACTCGGATAGAAAATAAAATGACTAGATGAGTTTTAATTTGCTTGACTTGTTCGTATTTACAATAAATTTATTTATTTCTTCTATACAAAAATGCTGTGAAAATTGTATGTAATTTCATCGCTATCGGGCAATTCGTGAGTTTTTATATTAATCAAGCTTGTTTTACACTTATTGTTAGTTGAAACTGATTTGGTTACAAACAATCAAAGACATTAATAAATAGACCAAGCGAGTCATTCGTAAATCCCGATTTGTTTGGGACCAACATCAATGAAAAATAGGTGGTAGGGATAAAAGTAGATACTAGTCCGTATTCCCCTCATTAACGGTGTTGTCATG